ACCCAGAGGTCTCCAAGTCTACCGGTAGCTCGCCATCCTCTTCAAAGTAGCTTCCCAAATAACATTTCATGATGTAAGCAATGTAACTGTAATGTAAGTACAGAAGTCTTGCTTTTTGTTGCTAAAGTTGGCGATTTTAGACATATTTTTTAAACTGAAGATAGTGATTAAATTCTGCTTATTTTTATGCTATGCAAGTTGGAGATTGTCTTTTATTTAGTATAGAGTTATTATTCATTTGCTGTGTGCTCTTGATTACTACTGGCTGTGATGCAACACTGAAATTTCCCCCACTGTGGGATGAACAAAGCATCTCTTAATCTAAATGTCGTGACTTACCTCTACTGTTTCACCAACATTCTTGAATCTCCTGAAGTCACTTGTGTGGCGTTTTTCTTCATCTGCTTGACCTTTTGACTTGTGATTTGACAGAGCATAGAGGGGAGTTGCTATTAGAATGGCATTAGTGGTTTGGGGCTATAAGGAGGATGCGGCCCACTGTTAATCAGGCCGTGGTCAGAGCAGTGGAATGGATCTCTAATTACCTCTGCAGTAATCGCCCCATTCATCACTGCGACATCGGCAACACTTAAATACGGAGAGCGGATATGCCCAAAGCTAACAGCTGCCCTGCGCCCTATATGTTGTTTCAGTGTGGACTTCCTGGACGTGGGAGAAGGAATGTCGCGGTCGCTTTTAGTCCCGGTTCTTGGAAGGCTGCCAAATTCCCAAAGGTGCAATACGATGAATGTCACTGTAAATCTGTCAGAATTTGCAAACAGGATATTTAATCCTAACCCAAGGACAAACACTGAGTTATGTTATTGTCACGTAATTATTAATTAATTTGGTCTTTGTTTAATGCCCTCTACATTGGGTTCATCATTTATAAATAATTCATCAAATGTTGTTCAACTCTCAATATTCAAAATGTAATAAATTATCTATTGATCCATTCCACAGACTTTCTGAAACATTGAATAATAATCTGTCCAAAAACTCAATACTAATTTGAGCGAGTATCTATTCTTACATGTTTTCCTGCATTATGTATTTGTTTATATTTCTTTAGCATTTTTGTCATATTTGAATCCAACTCTGTGTAGAGTGAGAGACAAATGCCCGAAAATAATAATAGTAAACCGCTTGGTGACTCTGGTCCGTATATACATAAATATTACTTACTTACTTAAACTATATCAGATGAAAACACTTAGTGACTCTATAAAAAAGTAATTATTTTTAGTTAAAAACAGTTTATTGCCCAAGAAAGCATACATAAGCACTATGGTATTAGAATTGAGAATTTTGAAATGTGGTATTGCGACAACATTATTGATAACTAACTCACAAAAAACCTGACATATCCAGATGGAAATGAAACCTCTTGGTCGAGGCAATAATTCAGAATAAATTCCACTCTCAATATTGTGAATCAACAGGTCTTGTTGTGCAAAAGAAATATGATACAAAAAAAAGGCAGCCATTTTTTTTTTACCATATTATGTTTAATTTCTGCAGAGACAAAAATGACAAGCAATTTATTTACACAAACCTGTACAAAAGCAAATTAAATTATGTAAAATATCTCATAAATAGAAGTGGACTTGCGTTCAATACACTTTGCCATGTTCAGCTAAGCTGCGTGCATAGTGACTCATATTAAACAATGATAAATTTGTTCCTCAATTTCTATATCAACATCCAAGTCGCAGGACAAATAGAAATGGTTAATAGTACAATTCTCATTACACACTGTGAATACTAGACAGGGAGACAAGAGCGAGACAGAACGGACACCTCCAGATATGGGGACGGCAGATGCTGGCTCATTCATGCTTTTAGTTATCAATTTGCATATGCCATCTGCTAAAAATCCAGCTTTCTTCGCCTTAATCCATCTACTCTTTTATACTGTTCACATTACAGCCTGTTGGACATGTATCATCCTTATAAATCTAAAGATTCCCTCCTATCATGTCTTTGTTTCCATTTCATCTGATCTTGGGATTCTAAAGCCTCACCTTTGCTTCATCGCCTCTCATTACTTTGACAAGTTCTGGTCATTTCCTGATACGGAGTGAGCTACAGAGGTGCATGTTCTGTCAGTCGCTCTTGCATTGCAGCTTTTTTTTTTTTTTTTTTTCTTCTGATTCGCCTCGTCCTGTAAAACCGTCGCATTAGCATTTTTATCTGCAGGCGCCCTCAGTTCTGCAGTAAAATGTCTCTGTGAGCACAGTCGCCCTCTCAGCTCTCGGCTCTGTGTTTCTAAATTCAGACCTGGAGCTGAATTCCTGTGTGAAGTAGGTTGACCTCTTGATTTGGTATCGTTGACTGCGCTTACAGGTTGGGACGCCGTTGAAATAAAAGGTATATACATTTCAAACATCACATATTCAAATGGCATTGACCAATGGGCTAACACAGGGGTCTCCAACCTACAGCTCAGGAGCTACCGGCAGCTGGGCAACCCCTTCAAAGTAGCTCCCCAAAGGATAATTTTATGAGTTACCAGGTTTGTAAGGCTCATAGTTTAATACATATTCAAAATAATACTAAAAGTGGTTAAAAACAACTAAAATATAACTTACGAATTACATGAATTATATTTTAGCTTAAAGACTTAGCAATGGAACAATATTGCCATGCCATGGTTGAAATGAAACCAAAGCTTGTAATTCAATTTGAAAATCTTGTTTTAAGATTCATTATTGATCGTAGCTCAGCATTATGTCGAATGTCGAGTACATCACCGCCACTTTTGTATAGGCAAAAAGTAGCTCTCCGGCGGGAACGGGTTGGAGACTCCTGGGTTAACAGTTGAATCACGTATATTGCCATGTAAGCACAGTCATTTCAGTCTACAGTAGATACAACTTGTACAGTTGCATTTCGAAAACCAAATCTCAATATAAAAGTAGAATTTTGACATTTGACTGGTCGTCCTCTAAAGCCTCTGACATCATGGGATTCCCAATTTGCGAGTTTCTGTCCGTTTTTAATGCCACCCCCATTCCATATTTGTGAGAAACTTAACTGAATAAGTACCATTCCAAACCAACATGAAACCATACCCATCGGTATAAAAAGGCACAATTGCATATTTGCATTCACTCTAGTACATGTTTTTTAATGTGTGTCCCCCCCCCCCCCCCCCCCCCTTTTTTTTCAGAAGCACACTACATGTACAAAGTGCGACCGGAAAAGAAAGCGAGACACGGAGTACATTGTCATGATTTTCTAATGTTATCATAGAACAAACCTGTATAGTGGGATTTTAAAGTTAAATAAAAGTTGTAAAGAAATGATATGAAACTTGTGGACATTGTTACACTCAAACTAATAAAAATACAATATAAAAAAATCTTTAAAATGTGTTATAGTCTTAACCAACGTACTAAGATGTACTATTTGGCTAACATCTCTTCAGATATAACAAAAGCAAGCAACAAGGTGGGGTCCCATGTTCACAAGGTTTTATTTATTTTTTTGCTATTTTTGTTTTTCAGTTTTTTTTTCTCTTTTTTTCTCAGTAACTGAAGTAGGTTCCTACTCAAACGTGCAGTAAAAAGTAAATATTCATGTATACAGTTGATAAGTATAGGAGCACTTTTTCTTCCAAACCACGAGTAATACTTACAGACTAGTATAGACTTGTCGCAAATGCAGGGAAAAAAAGAGCCACTCCGGTTTTCCTGAACCAAAGGGGTTTTTGCTGACGTACAAAAAAAGAGTTCCATTGCATCGGTTATTCTTTAGGTTGTAGTTGTGAAATTCTGCACCTCTCAATATGAAAGACTAAAAAAAAAAAAAAAAGACGAGGGAGGCACCACATTTCCAACATTGCTGATGGATATAAAATTAAAGGCTTAAACAACCCTAAATATCACTCTATTAAATTCAATGTAAAGGAATACTTTACTATATTTTAAGAAGTCTGATTTATCGTTTGCTTTTGCCAACCATTCGCATTTCCTCTTCATTGATTGTTACCCATTTTGGCGATTTTTACATTCATGCTATAAGATGCTGCTTCTATGGAATACAACATACTAGCGCTAAAAATAATCCCCATATTTACTTGCCTTGATCAAACCTCAAAGGCAAACCAATGGATTTAATGTTACTTGGTCATATGTATGGTTATGGTGTTTATTGCTCGTGCTCACAAGAAAATGCCGTTAACAGACTTGGAGCTAATCGGCCACACTACATCCTCTTAGCCGTATAATTACTCTATACAATCTGGCCTGTAGTTGCATGCCGTCCTATGTGCTTTCTATAGATTCAGTCAAAGCCTGCATGGGTGCACTGCTTTTCCAGAGCAGCGTCGAAGAAAGTCATGGCTCTCAGATCTTGTAGGATTGGATTTAAACAGACAGTAAATGAGAGACTGCAGAACGTAGCAAGACAAAAGGGAATGGTAGCCGTATTGGTGTTGAGGTCCATTGTGTATGTACAGTTCACCTTTCACACTAGAAATGCAGACTCCCCAACGTGTAGCAGGGATGTAGAAACTGTAGTGGTGCAGCAAATTCCATTGGGTTTAATTTCAGTCCTTGAATCTCCAAAAACAGTCTTTCCTGGGCAGATTCATTAAAGCTAACTCTGTCAGATTGTAATGGGATTCAGTGTGTTTGCCCAGAAATGCATGTAGAAAAAGAGTCTTTCCTGTACAGTGTCCTCTACAGGGAGTGGGACTGCAGTGATTATGCATGCATGTACTGTAAATGTAAAATGTGTCTGTACAGATTGACTGTCAGGCAGCAGGTATGTCAAAGAGCCCAACAGACCACGTTACAAGTTCCATCCACGACCCTCCTCCTTTCCATTTTTTTCACGGCCAAAATGAGCACTTTAGTAAGAGTGTGTCTCCTCGTAGTGTCAGTATGGTCTTTGGGCACTCCGGAGTCCTTGTCCTTACAAGTGTCATGTGGAGGCTGGCAGCTATGCTTCTAGTTCTTTGAAAACAGTGGCACAGCAGCTGTGTCCATGGGGCCTCACAGATACACTTCCCGTCGTGTGAGAGTACCACACGTGGTGGGCTTGTACTCCCCTGTGGGTGCCAAGGGGATCTCCTCAGTGGGGTGGCCCAGCACTTCCTCCCCAGCTCCAGAAGAACTGTAGGAAGGTGAGCCGAAGGCTTCGTAGGATGAAGAAGAGGGCATTTTCCTGTTGAGCAGGTTGCGGTTGCGATCACCCATCATGTGCGGCGCGGTGGGGTCTCCGTTGGCCATGGCAGCCATAGTGAGGGTCTCTTGGCCTCCGGGCTGCTCCGCACTACTGCTGCTGCTGCTGCCGGTGCCGCTCATGAACGTGGAAAGCTTTGGTTGTTGGGGGTTGTTGGAGGACTTGGATGGTCGGCGCTCGGGCGATGTGTGCACAGGCATCCAGCAGGAGTCCGAGTGGCCGTACTCATCACATTCCCGGGTGCACTTGCCGGTCATGGCTACGTCAGGCAGGGGCCGGGAGTCTGTAAGAGCACATCAAGAGAAAACATAAGAAATGCATGTTTTTTTTCAACAAACAGAATATTGTGATTTATTTCTTTGACAAAACTGCACTATGTGATGCGTGTAACACAGAAAGATTGCTCTGTTAGATGCATGAATCTGTAATTTTCCTTCAAATGAGGTTTCATCGCATCTAAATGTAAATGGAAAAAAATTAAAAACAATAGGCTTATCTGTCACCAAGCTCCAATCACAAAGCTGCTCATTCTGTCTGTAAAATTCTTCACAATTTTGTGGATACAATCGTACTTGATTCATGCAGAACCCATACCACATAACAGAAAGAGTAAAAAGCAAATCATGACAAAGTTGACTGCATTGGCTACAACAAAAGCATGAAACAAAATAAAAAGTGTGGTGTGAATCAGAGTTGATGTGATGCCATGCTCTGTGTGTGGTGACTGGGGAGGGGGGCGGTGGCAGAGGGGCCCACAGGGTCTTTTTCACAACATTTTCATATTGTGGAACAGATTAGAATGTCTGTGTTTGAATGAACAGGAGTTTAATGGATTTTGTCAAAAATCCTTCAGAAACAAAAACCTCATTATCTTATCTGGTGATTGACAGACAATCACAAACTGATCTAAGGAGCTTAATAGCTTTATGTGGCTCAAGAGTTCCCATATCCTTTTAAATCCACTAATGGGGATCTGAACCAATTACCTTGCAAAGCTGTGGCTGCAGATTAGCTACTGTGCTATACTCAAATTAGCTGCATGAAGTGGCAGAACGGATATACATGTTCGCTATTTTCATATACAAAATAAGACAGCATTGCACACTCACAATACAAGTCCAAAATATTTTCGATTTGATGACGGTTCAGGAATTATAGCCCTCATCAGATCATCATTTTATCTTACTTTGGACCACATTACACACTTTTTTATACATGCAGTAGTTCAGGAAAAACCTTTTTGTTGTTTCAAATTCTAAATGTTGATGCTATGCTGTCGATGACCAGGTGCAAAACAAAAGACAAAACCATGAAAAGCAAACGTGAGTGCATATACCAAGCCGAGCATGCCTTTGCCCATTACTTGAAATAAATAAAACATTTAGGAGTTTGGACCATGGCTTACTTTTAATGTTCTTTCTCTCCTGTAAAAGAAAAAAAAAAACACTCACTTTTTTGTCATAGAATATTTGTATATACACTGTTTTGATCATATTTGAAGAGCACATATGCTAAAAGACATGTTGACAAGAGGAGCATGACTTATTAGGATGCGGACACATGAGGACACCATGCAGGCGGGACAAGCACACCAAAGAAAGCCCACATACAGGAGCCAAGAGGGCCCCCCCTTTGTACTAGTCCACTTTTGAATGTCTATGTACTTTGAATGCCTCCCAGCTCAATAGGCCGAGATCCTTTGGTTTCAGAGTGCCATTCCTCAGCAGAAGGGAGATTATTGTATCGATTCAAAACTTAGTGCCACATCTCTGTTAAAGGAGAATGAGGGAAAATGGAAACAAAAAATAAATATGATTATGTGATGGAAGTGGGGATGAAAATATACATGCTAAATCAACAAAGGATAATCAATGGAATGTAAAAGTATTCCGTCAAATAATAAGCTTGTTGTGAGGCTTCCAAAAAAAAAATGCGGCAGCTACGCGCATATATCGCAGCAAATTTCACAAGCTCCAAAACGCATGAATTTATAATTGTGTAACTCAATAATGAGAAGGATTGAAACCAAAACACAACTGAAACCATTATGCTGCAGACCAACTGTTACTACTGACACCGTGACGAGAGACTGGAGGCAGCTGCTGACTTTTTAACATCCAACTGGGAATCCGCAAGCCACTCTGTTTCTACAATGCTCCTCTACGGTATATTTCAAAACAATTTTCGAGTGTGGCTTTTTATTTACACCAGAGGTCACCAGCCCTAGAAGCCAAAGTTACTGCACATGTGGAAAGTGAACTCTTTTATATCCAGTCACTAAGACATGGATTTTATTACAGAGCTACATCTTTAGCGGTAGTTGAGTACCCAAAATTTAACCGGAATCAGCAATAGTGACAATAAAAGAGAGCATAAATATCCACCTTTGATTATTATACTCACATGAATACATTATAGGTGATATTCATATTCCTAGTCTATGTTAAAATAAAATAAAAACTGGAGTTATGTACAATTCCCCATTTTTGATTCATCTGCGCAATGCAACATTAATTTCAGCTAGAGAGCCATTTGGTAATCTTCAGGTTGGTAAAAAGGTTGGTGACCCCTGATTTATAGCATGGGAATGTAGATTGACCGGTATACAGTATAAAGAGAGCTTTGCCTTTCTGAAACATGCACAAATAATGCCTAAAACTTTGCTCTTAAAACCAACACGTCAAATCAGAAAATGTGATTATACTAGAAAACAGAAATCTCTCATTGACCGCAACTCGCTTTTGCAACAACTCTCTGCTTTGCATCAAAGTCAGAAGCGGATATGATGCAACTAAAATGCCATTTCGCTTCAAAGATTCACTTAAGGTTTATAAGCAAAACATTGTTGCAACTAGAATAATTCCCCCTGAAGTCAAATTATCATCGCATTTTTGCTTTCTCTTCCCTTAAGAAAGTCACAATAGCACAGTTCCGGGGCTTGTGTCACATATTCACCAGCCCGCACAAAACACCACAATACAAGTGGGTCATAGCGCCACATTAAAAGGCTACACTGTGAGCTGAACAAAATGCCAAACCAGGATACATCCCTCGGGCCCTGACCACCATTTTTTAGGCTACTAAAGCAAAGTGCGAATCCATCCAGTCGCACACATAAGCGCATTGGAAAAAGCTACAATAGTTCCAATCGATGCAGAGCCGTTATTCTTGGCGATTGAGTTGCTAATTAGGGAACATATTATCAGCTAAACTTTTCCACAAAGTTACTGAATCGGTTATTACCCGAGAGAGCCGCGCACCAGTGGATAACTGCTACACAAGCTGCGCAAAATTGTACATTTTCAAATTCGCCGACATTAGGGATTCCAATTCTTTCATTATTTGAACATTCAGAGGCAAAAAACGTCAGGCTGAAAGTGGGCCAGCGGCTGCAACCCGGCTAAGCTCCGGCTCCTCTTAACTGGCTTTAGTCTGCCTCCCTATCAGCGGACTAGCTTACTCTGTGGGATGTTTCAAAAGAGGCTCCGGCTGCTGGTACAGTGGCGATTCGATGTGGGGAATTTTCAGCGTCGGAATAAAAGAGGATGTCTACTGCTGTTTTTTTTTTTTTTCTCTTTTTTTCTCTCTCTCTGTTACAATCTAATGTGTGTGTTTGCATCACAAGATCGAACTGGTCTCAATGCTTTTTTTTTGTTGTTGATGATTTTGCGGAGGAGTTGTCTTCTCGAGCAGCCGATCCATTCTACTTTGAAATAATAATTACGTTCGTTTTAATCGGCCGCGCAGAATAAGACGAGAGATTTACTCGTCCCGCTCTCGGGAAATGTCAGATAATTGTCAATATTATGTTTTCGGTGTTCAATCCAAGCAGTGGTTTGTCCAACTTTGCAACAGAAGGCAATGAAGTCTACTGATTACTGTATTAAAGAAGGTTTTTCATGGTTTTAGGGGTTTTTGAATGTTGCCTTTTTGGGTACAATCAAACATTTTTCAGCTGTAAAATTAGAATGAACCAATATGGGAAATTATATCAATGTTTACAAGAGGTACAGCTGGTATAGGGCAACAACGGAAAACTCAGAATCCACCCTAATATCTGGCACAATATATTTACATCACTTCACTTAATATCTTTAATGTACCCATGTTTTCATATTTTATTTTGTCGACAATAATTTTCTATACAAGAATATACTATACATCTTTAACAATAAATACTGGTGAAACTGCGTTCTAAGAAATATAGTGTTAAATGTAAGTGATGGTAAATAAATCCAACTATATGTTTACATTTAATTGTCATTTAATCCAGACTTAACTTTATCAATTAAATCCAACACTTTATATTTTAGAGTGTAGAATTCAAACAGAAAATTATTTTATTATATTGTGGCTATGTATATTAATGATACATTTGTTCTTACACATATTTGTTCTTGCATTACTTGCTTATTTCAGTCGTCCTCTGTCTTGTATAGAGTTTCAGCTTCTCTTTCATGTTACATTTCAGAAAAATACAGTTGTACCAGATCAACTGTGTTTTAGTCAAGAGTCCTATTTTACCGGACTTACCTGTCATACACAATTCAAGCAAGTAAAAGAGTTTAAATCAAAACGCTTCACAATCAATGCTTCTGTTGAATAAACCTGCACTGCACCTTTTAATATTACATTTTAACATCTTCCGAGCCTGACATGTTTGAACATTTCTCGATCCCAGTTGTTTGCCTGTCTATACCCCCTCCCTCTTTCCTCCATCACACTATGAGCAATTTGCTTTATAGATTTCAAAGCACAGCGACTTCTCGACCTCCCCCTATTTCAGGTCCGATGACTGGGTCCAGACAGGCGAGAAAACACGGTAGAAAGAAGTGAGGATGGAGCGTGCGAAGGAGAAGAATAAGAAGAAAACTCAACAGAAGCGATATGTCCTAATGCATGAGTGCGGGTCTGGGCGGCTTTGACAGACGTTGCATTTGCTCTGACAGCGATAGGGGTCAGGGGGAGGAGGAGAGTGTAAAGACAGAGATGATGTGGAAGGAGGGGAGGGAGTGGAGCCCAGTATAGCGGGGTCAGGGCCTGGGAGGCAGAGAGGGAGCAGATTGAGTCGGGAAGACAGCGTGGTAGCCTCTGGCCCGTCAGCACACTGGCAGAGGATGGAGAGGGGAGAGGAGAGATGAGTGAGGAGGAGAGAGGGTGAGGAGTGAGGAGGAGAGAGGGTGAGGAGTGAGGAGGAGAGAGGGTGAGGAGTGAGGAGGAAAGAGGGTGAGGAGTGCCATAGACGTGTTCGTTTGCG